AAATCGGCCTGGCCTGGGGACAGGGGGTCAGGGGAGAAAATGATAACGACATATAAAATATGGCGGAATAAAAAGGTGGACAAAGGGGGATGTTCCAGAGAAGGGACACGCACAAGAGGTCACAATTGGAAGTTGAAGACTCAGTGAATCAAAGGGATTTTGGAAGTTTTTTTTAGTCATAGAGTGTCGGCCGGGGGAATACCCTAGAAAGTGTGTAGTGGAGGGGGGGAACCATCCCATATTTTTTTGGCGGGGTTGAAAAAGCTCTGGGGCAGGGAGAGAGAGGCCCCGTAGCAACCAGTGAGGGCAGGGCCAGGAGCTATGAATCGCCCCCCTGCAACCAAAAAAGGTGGTACAAATAGGTGATAACAACACACCACACACCACACCCCAAAAACCCAACACACACACACACACACCCCCAACATAAAAGGCAAAGGCCCAGGAGAATAAGGGAGCAGTCTTTTGAGCCGAAAGAACTGCACAGAAAAGAAGGGGGCCCCCAAAGACAATTGAAAAGAATGCAGCGAAAGAAAAATCTGCCCTGAAACGTTGACGCCCATGAGGAGGAAAAAAACAGTCAAGGACCAGGTAATAGGCAAAGGAAGGAAGGGGAGAGACAACAAAAAATGCCCGTGAAGTATGGAGGAACTCAACAAGAGATTCAAAAAAGTGTTACAGAGGGGACAAAAGGGGGCTCCAGAAAGACGGAGAGGTGGGGCACACCCCCGTGTGGACACAGTGCACCAAAGAGGAAAAGGGGGAAGGGGTTTCTGAGGAGCTAGATACCTCAAAGGCAATGGGCCGATAACATCCCCCCTGGGTTTGAGAGAGGGGCAAAGGGCTATGTGTACCCTAAAAACAATATTAATACATCTTTTGAAAAAGGGAGATTGCCCGAGGGAGGGAAAAACCGCAAAAAGTAGTCCCAATCTTTAAAAAAAGGGGACAACTGAAGCATTAAATACGCCCGTTCACTAAATGTATAGTAGCAAAAAACTGGAGAAGATTATGGAGAAGAGTGGGGAAACCCCTAGAGGGAACGATTCATAACAGAGCCAAACTGATTTCAGGGGGTGGGAAATCTGTGTCACACCCTACTGGAGTTCTATGCATGGTGCAGCGTAAGACAAGAGAGGGGGGTGGGTGATTTCATATTTTTGGGCTGCAAGAAAGGGATTTGACCGTTTCCCCACAAGAGATTTGGGGCAAAAATGGAGGCCAAGCAGGGGTAACGGGAAGGGAACATGGATCAGGGGAAACTTGTCAGGAAGACAGCAGGAGTCATGGTGTGGCGAGGTGTCGAGTGGGCACCTGTGACCAGCGGGGTCCCCCAGGGGTCAGTTTTAGGACCCGTGCTGTTTCTGGTATTTGTGAACGACATGATGGAAGGAATAGACTCTAAAGGTTGTCTCTGTTTGCAGATGACGTGAAGTTGATGGGGAAGAATTTCACTCGATCGAAGACCAGGCAGAACTACAAAGGGATCTGGACAGGCGGCAGAACCTGGTTCCAGCAATTGGCTCCTGGAGTTCAATCCCACCAAGTGCAAAGTCTGAAGATTGGGGAAAGGGCAAAGAAGACCGCAGACGAAATACAGTCTAGGGGGCCAGAGACTACAAACTCACTCAAGGAAAAAGATCTTGGGATGAGTATAACACCAGGCACATCTCCTGAAGCGCACATCAACCAAATAACTGCTGCAGCATTTGGGTGCCTAGCAAACCTCGAACAGCATTCCGAGATCTTAATAAAGAATCGTTCAGGACCTGTCACCGTGTACGTTGGGCCCCTTATTGGAGTATGCGGCACCATTTTGGGAAAACTCATACCTACCCAAAACACGTAAAGAAACTAGAGAAAGTGCAAAGGTTTGCAACAAGACTATTCCCAGAGCTAAAAGGTATGTCCTACGAGGAGAGGTTAAGGGAAATCAACTTGACGACATTGGAGGACAGGAGAGATAGGGGGGACATGATTACGACATACAAAATACTGAGGGGAAATTGACAAGGTGGACAGAGAAGGATATTCCAGAGATTGGACACAGTAACAAGGGGACACAGTTGGGAAGAGAAGACACAGATGAATCACAGGGATGTTAGGAAGTATTTCTTCAGCCACAGAGTAGTGGAATAGTTTGGGAAGAGATGTAGTGGAGGCAGGATCCATACATAGCTTTAAGCAGAGGTACGATAAAGCTCACGGTTCAGGGGAGTGACCTAGTGGCGACCAGTGAAGAGGCGGGGCCAGGAGCTCGGAATCGACCCCTGCAACCTCAACCAGGTGAGTACAACTAGTTGAGTACAACACACACACAACACACACACCACACACACCACCCCACACACACACACACACACACACACACACACACACACACACACACACACACACACACACACACTACCATTACTCTCCTTGCACTGGCCTGCAGTTATTGCACAAAAAGTTGTCTGCAGGCAACTGCCGTTTCTGGCAGGGAGATCTTGCGTGTTCCCTCACTTCTTCGACATCGATCTCAGTTCGGTCTGTCAACTGTCCCTGTCCTTGTGCTCGTCATCCCAGCCAGTGGATGTTGCACTGACCAGCCTCTGGGTAGGTCATTCACAGCTTGCCAAAAATGCTCTACATAAACATGGCTTATGCACTCTGGTATCACCCATTCCTGTATAAACATTGTACCATGTTGAAAAAAACTTGTATTTGCATATTTATCTGCACAGCCTTCAGATGACAGACTCCCGTCCTGCCGGTGGTGTCCCTCTCAGCCTGAGACGGTGGTGTACTTCCTGCTGTGGAAATAAGCCACTTTGACTTCTTGGGTTATCCTAGGTAATTTACAGTATGTATGATAATTGTACTTGTGTACCTGTGCCTGAATAAAGTTACTTATCCCTGCACGGACTCTCCTCCGTGTTGTCTTGCCTACATTCTGGCTACAGTCTTTCCCACTACATCTGTTACTTAATGATGAGTGTGACCCTCAACACCGTCAGATCCTGACCTGTACTTGTACCTTCTAGTTGGCCTCAAGGAGCAGTGGGGGCATATAATACCTTCTGCAGTTAGCCAAGGACTCCAATGGAAATAAGTCACTTCGCCTGACTTTTTCTGTGTTATCCTAGGCCTGGTGGGTAAAGCTCTCGCTTCACACACGGAGGGCCCGGGTTCGATTCCCGGCAGGTGGAAACATTTCGACACGTTTCCTTATACCTGTTGTCCTGTTCACCTAGCAGCAAATAGGTACCCGGGTGTTAGTCGACTGGTGTGGGTCGCATCCTGGGGGACAAGATTAAGGACCACAATGGAAATAAGTTAGTCCTCGATGTGCACTGACTTTCTTGAGTTATTTAAGTACAATTAACATACATGTGTAAATTACTTAGGATAACCCAAAAAAGTCAAAGTGACTTATTACCAGTGGGGTCCTTGAAGGTAATTTACACTATGATAATTGTACTTACGTGTGCCTGTGCCAATATACGCTTGCTGGATTGTGTTTTCCTTCCTTCCACTTTGGTCGACCCCCCAAGGAAGGTTCCTTGACGTTGGTGAGGGGCTCTTGATCTAGGGAATTGGATCTGTGCTCCAGTTCCCTGAATTAAGCCTGAATACCTTCCACATCATCTCCCCACAGGCGCTGCATAATCCTACGGGTTTAGCGCTCCCCCTTGATTATAATAATATTTTGGTCGAGGTTTCTTTCCCGGACACTGGACGGTAGGGTTCGATACGGCGTCAAGCGTCAGTGGCTCTATAAACCCTAACAACAACAACAACAAGAAGCAGATCCTTGCCATAGTAGTAGTAATAGTGTGTTAATAGTTTAGATTTGGGGACATAATAGTGCATTTTGCAGAGTGGTCTATACAATAAGGTCCCACTTTATAGTGTTCATCTTGTCGGTGTTCCACTAACTCTGCAGTGTTCAATTATAGTCATTGTTCATTATGTTCGGTACTTGTTCCGCTTTTCGGCATTTTTCGTCATGATGCCTCAACAGCTGAGTCAGGGAAGGTCGTCCAGCGCCATTTTATTGTCTGATTTAGCCTCTTTACATCACATGTGAACCCTTGTGGGTTTAGCACTTAGTTCTAATTGTTCTGATAATAATAGCATCAATTGTGGGCTTCGCATCTCTCTATATTCTGACATTATTCCAAAGTTTTAATGTTGTTACGTATATTATAATATTTTTGTGTTAATTACAATGGCATCTAAAGGTAGATGTGTTAAAAAGAGGAGTCGTAAGGCTCTTACTTTAAATAAAAAGTTAGAAATGATTACCCTTGGTGAGAAAGGTTTTACTATGACTGAGATAGGACGTAAGTTAGGTTTAGCTCGCCAGACTGTTAGTACAATTGTTAATGCTAAGGAGAAAGTGCTGGATCAAGTTAAAAGTTCTACACCATTAAACACTAAAGTTATAAGAAAACGCGATGGCCTTATTGCTGACATGGAAAAAGTTTTACTGGTGTGGATTGAAAAACAAAGCAGTCAGAACTTGTCTTTAACCCGAGGCATTATCCAGGACAAGGCCTTAAGTATCTTTAATTCTATGAAGGCTGAGAGAGGTGAGAAAGCTGCTGAGGATACATTTGAAGCAAGCAGAGGCTGGTTTCAAAGGTTTAAAGATAGATGCCAACTTAGCAACAAAGTTGATGGTGAAATAGTGTCTGCAGGAGGTTATCAACGTGAGATAGCCAGGATCATTGAATGTGGAAAGTACACCAAACATCAGATTTTTAATGTGGATGAGATTGCATTATACTGGAAGAAGATGCCATCTAGGACTTTCATTGCTAAGGAAGAGAAGTCAATGCATGGCTTTAAAGCTGGAAAAGACAGACTAACGCTCTTGTTAGGGGTTAATGCAGCTGGTGACTGCAAGTTAAAACCTATGATGATTTATCACTCAGAGAATCCTGGGGCCCTAAAGAACTATGTAAAAGGTAGTCTCCCAGTTTGTTATAGATACAATTCCAAAGCTTGTATGACTGGCGAACTTTTCATAAATTGGTTCACAGACTATTTTAAACCTACAGTTGAGGCTTACTGCAAGAAAAATAACATTCCTTTTAAGATTTTACTCATTGCTGACAGTGCCCCTTGTCACCCTAGAGCTCTAATTGGTATGTACCAGGAGATCAAAGTTGTTCTTATGCCTGAAAATACACCTTCATTACTGCAGCCAATGGAGCAAGGTTTAATTGCAGCATTTAAATCCTATTACCTAAGAAGTATTTTCACTGAGGCTGTAAATGCCTTAGACAGTGATACAGTACTTGGGCCTAAACAAAATAAATTAAAAGCATTTTGGAAAGATTTCACAATTTTGGATGGTATTAAAAGTGTTCGAGATGCATGGGAGGAAGTTAAAGAAATTACACTGAAAGGTGTTTGGACGAACCTAATTCCTCATCTTTCGGAGGATTTTGAAGGCTTTGAGAATCTAATGGAGGAAGTCACTACAGATGTTGTAGAAATGGCAAGGGAATTAGACCTGGAAGTCAAGGCTGAGGATGTGGAAGAATGGCTTCGTTCTCATGATGAAACCCTAACAGATAGAGAATTTTTTCTGATTGAAAAGCAAAGAAAGAAGTTTTGTGAAGAAGAGTTACATACTGATGACAGTCTGCCTTTTCCTAGAGAAATGGCATCCAAGGAATTGAAAGAAGCTTTCAACTATATAGAAATGGCAATGGCAACTTTTGAGAGGATTGACCCAAATTTTGAAAGAAGTTCAAAAGTAAATGCAGCTCTTTTAAATGGTATTGCATGCTATAAAGAAATTCTAAGGGAAAGGAGACAATCCATAAGGCAAAATTCATTGCTTTTCTTTAAGAAAGTACCATCGCAACCTTCGACAGCAACAGCTAGCCTTGAACAACCTCCAACATCAAAGTCAACAGCAACTGCTAGCCTTGAACAACCTTCAACATCAACAGCTAGCCTTGAACAACCTTCAACATCAACAGCTAGCCTTGAACAACCTTCAACATCAACAGCTAGCCTTGAACAACCTTCAACATCAACAGCAACTGCTAGCCGTGAACAACCTCCAAGAACAATATCAACAGCAACCGTTAGCTTTGAACAACCTCCAACAACAGTGTCAGCAGCAACAGCTAGCCTTGAACAACCTTTAACTTTAATACTAACAGCAACAGCCAGCCTTGAACAACCTTTAATATTAACAGCAAAACAAACTCCTACAAGAGCTTCATCCAAGTCTGTACCATCAAAACAAAAGTATTTTAAGGTAAGTAATGTGTACACTGTATATTCATATTACTTTCATATCATTTTTTCTTAGGGTTATGTTGTGTAATTAATAGTATATGATAGTGTAGACATGTTATCAGGCTTTTACATGCATATTTGAAAATGAAAAAAACCCATGTTCCACTTTTTGACAGGTCAGTTTATATATAATTATGGTTAAGGTGTCCCATAGCTCCATTGCTAGTGCACTCAGCTCACACACTGAGGTCCGGAGTTCGAATCTTTGGTATGGCTGGAAAACATTAGGGATGTGTTTCCATAAGATACCTTCTGTCTATGTTCACCCATCAGTATAAAATGAGTACCTGGGTGTTAGTGGACTGATGTGGGTCACATCCTGGGTGTTAGTGGACTGATGTGGGTCACATCCTGGGTGTTAGTGGACTGATGTGGGTCACATCCTGGGTGTTATGTGACGAGTGGGTACATCCTGGTGTTAGTGGACTGATGTGGGTCACATCCTGGGTGTTAGTGGACTGATGTGGGTCGCATCCTGGGACAAAACTGACATAATTTGCCCATAAATGCTCTGCATAACAAGCGGCTTTCTATATAGTAGTATGTCATTGATGTCGTCTGTGGTCTGTATAGCTTGTATAAAGATATATTATTATTATTATTAATATATAAATAAAGATATATTATTATTATTATTAATATTATTAATTAGGGTCCAGCTGTATAAGTCGGGACCTACTTATATATAAATTGACCTACGTTGTGATTTGTAGACATTAATGAACAAAACAAATGTTCATTATAACTAAGCAGTGTAAATATGAGTATGTATGATCATTAATTGCTTAATGGGTTAGGTTTCATTAGCAGAGGTTGGGTTACTTTAGAGGTTGGGCTAGATTGAGTTATGCTGGGTTTACGTAGACTGGGTTACACATGTATGTGTATAATATTTAAAAAGTGACCTAATAATTCTTGAATCAATATTTACACAAAAAACACTTTTCCAGCTTGCAGAAATTGAAACTATCTCTGTTGCACAAACCAGTCAGTATTACATGCTTTTAATTAAAAATATTCTTGAAATTTGATGGAGCCCCTAAACTTAATATTAACCCCCGATATCTACTGTTGTCTGAGTAAGGCTAAGTTAAATTACCTTAGGTTGTTTTACATTTGGTTATGTTGGGTTTCCTTAGGTTACATTTTTTACAATTTCAAAATAAAACTGTCCACGTCATAACCACTTAACATTAGACATTTAAATGAATAATTTATCAATACCAGTACAACTTTATTTCTTTTCCGTGGGCAATGACCCCCGGAACACCCTCCAGGTAGACCAGGTAGACTCCAGGTAGATAGACAAAAGAAAGCAACTGGCATGCAGTACATTTCAGGCAGACTAATCCTAATGCTTACAGACTACAGAGAGGGAGGAGAGTGATTTATTGTATAGCTAACTTTCGTGTACGATATCCCATGGCCTGGTAGGCAACGCTCTTACCTCACGCACTGGGTGTCCGTGGTTCAGTCCCCGGCCGGGTGGAAACGCTGGACTTGTTTCCATACACATGCTGTCCCTGTTCACCTACAAAGTAAAGTAGGGACCTGGTTGTTAGTTGACTGGTGTGGGCTGCTTCCTGAGGGACAGGATTAAAGGACTCCAATGGAAATAAGTCATTTTGTCTGACTTTTAGATAATTTACACCATGTGTAATAATTGTACTTATGTGTATCCCATGACTAAATAAATTTACTGAGAAAATAAATGTCCTTGTTTACGTTTGCTGTGATTGGCCAAGGCACATTGACTAACCGAATACTAAGCCTTGATTAGCCCTGATGTGTTATTCTAGCCAAAATAAATGCACTCTTTTATTTTGGTTATATATCCCAAAATATCGATTTAATAACCAATAAAAAGCTACATTTGCTGAGGTATGCAGTAGATAACTTGCATGTACACCTACCATCCGACTTACGACCGAGTTCGGTTCCGAGAAACCGGTCGTAAGTCGAAATGGTCGTAAGTCGAACTTTACTACTGAATATCAACATCACATTTTTGTAATGACTTTATTTTATTGTTTCATTTTGGTATTTCATGTTTTACTTTACTTTTTATGTTGTTAGTACTGTATTTTATACTGTAAGGTTTAGGATAAACACTGTGTACAACACAAATAGTTGTTTATTTTCCAGAAATTTGGTATAAAAAACACGGTTGTAAGTTGAGTGGTCGTAAGTCGAGCAGGTCGTAAGTCGGATGGTAGGTGTATTTTTAAAAAATATTATAATTTGTGAGGTCTAGAAAGGACTGGGTCTGGATATTAGTCAAAGGAAGGAGCAAATCATGGTACAGGAGAAATGATCTCCTGGGTCAAGGCATGGCTGATAGGCAACTACATGAAATTGTAATAGCATGTTTGTAAGCAAATTATGGAATGGGTGAGGTTTGAACCCATGGCAAATGAGTCCTAAAACTCACAGGACTAACTTGCCATAGGTTCATACTCCACCCATTCCATGAGTTTTTTAGTAACAGACAATTTGCATAAATAGTGAGAAATTAAAAGTAATTTGCCATAAGGATCAGTATGGGAATGCATATTCACAGTTTACATAAATGACATAGATATGAAAATAAATATTGATGTGTAAAGTTGCCAATAACTAAAATAGTCCATGAAATTATTTCTGATGAGAATTCTAGAACATTGAATAATTTGTTGTGGTTGGACAAGTAGCAGTTCAGTGTGGACATGTGGAAGGGTCTGATCTTAGGAAAAGAAGATAACTATGGAAATTATGAGCCAAATAATGTGGGTTTTAGTCAGATTGAATGCAAAAAAGATGGAGTTTTGGGTAGCAAAAATTTACATCAAGACAACAGTATAGTGGATCCCCGGTTAACGATATTTTTTCATTCCAGAAGTATGTTTAGGTGCCAGTACTGACCGAATTTGTTCCCATAAGGAATATTGTGAAGTAGATTAGTCCATTTCAGACCCCCAAACATACACGTACAAACGCACTTACATAAATACACTTACATAATTGGTCGCATTGGGAGGTGATCGTTAAGCGGGGGTCCACTGTATAAGTGTTTACAGTAAACCTAATAGGATTCTTAGTGTCATCTTTAAGAAGTTAAATAATGAAGTTCTCAAGTTATACTTCAACTTGATATGTCTGTGGTATGACCTCATTGAGATTATACTTTGCAGTTCTCTACTTCGTATTACTGATTGGACACGAATATACACTGGAAAATATAGAAAGATGACAACGTTGATCCTGTGTATCAGAAACCTTTCCTATGAAGATGGGTTGACAGCACTAAATTTGTACTCGGGAGGATTGAATGCACTAAATTTGTACTCTGGAAATACATAGTGATATGACTGAAGTGTACACATGGAGAACAGGAATAAATAGAAGGATATATAAAAAGTATTGAAAGTATCTTGCAGCATGAAATCTAAATAGAAAAATTTAGTTTTGTAAAGGATATAGAGAAATGCACCTACCATCCGACTTACAACCGAGTTCGGTTCCGAGAAACCGGTCGTAAGTCGAAATGGTCATAAGTCGAAATGGTCATAAGTCGAAATGGTCATAAGTTGAAATGGTCATAAGTCGAAATGGTCATAAGTCGAAATGGTCGTAAGTTGAAATGGTCATAAGTCGAACTTTACTACTGAATATCAACAAAACATTTTTGTAATAACTTTATTTTATTGTTTTATTTTGGTATTTCATGCTTTACTTTTTATGTTGTTAGTACTGTATTTTATACTGTAAGGTTTAGGATAAACACTGTGTACAAAACAAATAGTTGTTTATTTCCCAGAAATTTGGCATAAAAAACACGGTCGTAAGTCGAGTGGTCGTAAGTCGAGCAGGTCGTAAGTCGGATGGTAGGTGTACTTGTTTGGTAGTAGAGCTGGGGATGAATAGAACAAACCTATAAGTGGCAGCATTATGGTAGGAACTCTTGGTAGCCCTAAATGTTGGTTGAACAGGTATATGAGTAGGTGTGAGTGGGTGAGAGTTGGAGCTCTGTAGCATGGACCAGTAGGCCTACTGCATTTTTCCTTAATGCTAATTTTCTTATTTACCGGCACGTTTCAAAACCTACCAGCACTAGAGTACAGTGGAAACATAAACACATATGCAGTTTAATGTGATCCTTTATTGACAACGTTTCGCCCACACAGTGGGCTTTTTCAAGTCACAAACAGATCTGTTTGTGACTTGAAAAAGCCCACTATGTGGGCGAAACGTTGTCAATAAAGGATCACATTAAACTGCATATGTGTGTTTATGTTTCCATTGTGTTGGTATTTTATACCATTTATTTTCACTAGAGTACAGTAAGTCCTCGACTTGTGAATATGTTAAGAATCTTTTGTATTATGTATAACATCATTATTATATCATTATTGTGTATAATATCATTATTATATATTATTATACACAATACAAAAGGTCCCCAACATGTTCATAAACTGAAAACTTCCTGTATTATGAATATAATATGCAATTCAGACAGCCCCCAATGTGTTTGTAATGGCTTTTAAGCATGGAATATGTGAAGTTACTTTTTAATACATAATTAGCAACTTATGTGGAAAAGGCATATGTATAGCTAACATTTATGTACCTATTATCGTAAGCTGATCCTCTCTTTAATGTTTAATGGAAATAAGTCACTCTGTCTGACTTTTTTGGGTTATCCTAGGTTCTCTACACATGCTGCTATGTATGATAATTCTATGTAACTGTATTTGTGTATACCTGAATAAACTTACTTACTTACTTTATTCGTATTGTATATTTCTTTACTGTAGTTGTCTTTCACAGGTGAGTTACTTAGCTGTTTTAATTTTTATGGTTATAATCATGTCTGATTTCTACTGTAACTTACGTCTAGGCTTTAAATAATAAGATATTATTAGGACCCTAATGGAAATAAACAATTTTGTGTGACTTTTTTTTGGAGGGCTATCCTAG